GATCTTCCTGTCTGTATCTCCCAACACTGAATTAGATGTGAACCCCACCATGCCCAGCATTTGTATGTGAGTTTGGGGAATCAAATGCAGGTACTATTCATACAGGGTAAGTGCATTAACAACTATGCCACCCCCTCTGCCCTAAAATTTAAAATTGAAACCTGTCAGCCTTCACCTCCCCCAATAGTTATCCCTCTTAAAATTAAAAAAAAATACAATATTCACAAATAAATGTGAAAGGACCCTGCAATAATGTATGCTACTCTAAAAGCTAACTCTCTGTGTCACACATACAGATATGTCAGATAGTTTGCACTACAACAATGTCCATGATAATATGTAGTAAATTGAAAACTTCTTCTAAAAGAAGTCAGCTAGTCATGTTTTTTGTCTCTGTAGCTTATTATGACTATACAAAAATTTATGTTTATTATTTTCTATGATCCATGATAGATAGCATGGTGGTTTGAATGAAAGTGGCTCCCATAGTCTCATAGTGAGTGGCACCGTGGCCTTGTTGAAGGAAGTGTGGCCTTTTTAGAGGAAGTCTGTCACTGAGGGTGGGCTTTGAAGTCTCAGAAGCTCAAGCCAGGCCCAGTGTCTCACTCTCTCTTCCTGCTGCCTGCCAATTCACATGTAGAACTCTCAGCTCCTTCTTCAGCACCATGTCTGCCTGCTTGCCACCATGCTTCCCACTGTGATGATAATGGACTAAACCCCTGAATCTGTAAGCCGTCTCGAATTAAATGTTTTCCTTTATAAGAATTGCTGTGGTCATGGTGTCTCTTCACAGCAATAGAAACACCAAGACAGGCAGACAAACAGACAGGTAGATAGTAGATTGACAACAGAACATCATCAAATTGGGTACTCAAAGCATCCTGCAGATATAGATAGACAAGGCACTCAGCTGGAGTTCCTGATAGTGTTGAGCAGAGCAGAATGAGCACTTGGGTAAGACTTCCAAGTAAAACAAATAACAGTAGAAAGTTAGCAACATCAAATCAGGCTTACAAACACCCAGCAGAAATCAAGTGAGGATGTCAAGGCACTCAGCTGGACTTCCAATTGAGCTTACTCTTCATGAATGTACTTCCAGTTTTCTTTTATACTGTAGGCACTTTTGTATCATGGGATAAACAACAGGAACATCTGTTAGAAATGGTTTACCTTCAAGCACTTGTTAAGGACACAGTGTTTTTATTCTGGCTGTTTTGCTGTTCTTTCTCTGCCACAGAGTCAGTGAGGCCAGCCCATCTCCAGGGGCCTTGGAAAACACTTTAGACAAAAATGTTTAAATGAAAAAAACGGGATGTTGCGGGGAGACTCCACTTCGAGAGTCAGCTTTGCAGTAAGCTCAAATAACAGTGATGATAATTTTCCGGTGTAATATACATAATATAAATATTCCTAATTTGGAGGGATTGAAAATGAGCGATCCCATTTTAGCTGAGATCACAACATAATGTATTAAAACTGTAGCTCAAAGTTGTGTTATAACATGTATAGGACTCTTAACATACAAGAGGTATTTTATTGTTAATCTCTCATCTTATGCTGACCTATATAAGTTTAAATACACAGAGTAAATGTACATAAGAAGCAAGTGAAGTCTTACATATCAGGAGGAAAGTTCTGAGGAAAACCAGTATTTTCCAGTTATGTGTACTTCATTTTCTAGCAAGTTATTCTCACACTGTAGAAGTCATAACTAGACCCCTTATAATTTCATATTCTGTATTCCATAATCCATTGAGGAATGTAGGATAGTGAAGAAATTTACATGATTAAATGCTAGTGCTCGTATATTTATCTTGAAAAAGTGTAACAAGACCACAATACAAGACAAGGCTGCCTACTCTTACCATGTCTAGTCAGCATACTACTAGAAATCTTAGTCAAAGCAATTAAATGAGAAAAAGAAATAAAAAGCACAAAGTCATAAACAAACCAAATTATTTCTGTTTGCTAATGGTATCCTGATCAAGGACAGAGAAAACTCTAAAGACTTAACAAAAAGTTAAGATTAGCTACCCAGTAAAACATCAGCACATAAAATCAGCATACTAAAAAGCAATTGTATCTCTACATACAAATAGTGAACTATCAGATAATGAAATCAGGAAAACAATCCCATTCAAAATGGAAACATGAATAAAATACATAGGAATAATCTCATCTCAACCAAAGAGATGAGAGTTTTGAACACTGAAAATTATTTTAAAAACTGGAAAGGAAATTGAAAATAAAAAGAGAAACGAAATTGATGTTAATGATTTAGAAAAATTAAAATTGTTAAAGTGTACATATTATCCAGAGTTAATGAACAAATTCAGTGCAACCTTTATTCTCCATTGGCATTCTGGTTGATGTCCATTGGAGACCTGCCCTTTTTTCAATAGAAATGGAGGAGGAGTGGATTGAACCAGGTTTTTCCTTTTATTCCACCAACCAGCTCCCAAATCATGACATGGAGACTTATTATTAGTTTTGAATGCTTGGCCTAGCTTGGGCTTCTTTCTGGCTAGCTCTTTTAAACATAATTAACCTGTTTCTCTTTGTCTACTTTTGCATTGGGGCTTATTACCTTTCTTCCTTCTGTATATCTATCTTACTTTACTGCTGATTCTATGTCTGGCTGGTGGCTTCCTGGCTCTAGCCTCAGGACTGTACCTCTTTTTATCCCATATTCTCTCCATTCTTCTTCTGTTTCTCTCTTCTTCTCAACCCAAGATTTCTCCTATTTATTCTCTCTGCCCAGCAGCCTCTCCTATCCCTCCTCTGCCAAACTACTAGCCATTCACCTTTTTATTAGACCAGTCAGGTGCCTTAAGCAGGTCAGGTGAAAGAGCAACACATCTTTTCATAATTAAACAAATGCAGCAAAAACAAATGGAACACATCTTTAAATAGTTAAATGTATCACAAGTGGATGCAAGCAAGAGGGAGGTGGGGAAAGGGATTGGGAAGAGATGAGGGAAGAAAAACATGGAATATAAAAAATAATGAATAATAATTATTATTATTACTAATATTATTATTATTTAAAAAGAAGTAGAAAAAAGTCCCCAAAGTCATAGGAAAGCACAGAAGATCAATAGCTACATCAAATGTAAGCAGTAATAAAGCTATGAATTTTACTTAGTGAGTCCAAATATAATTCTATGGCATCTTTTTATTTTATATTATTTTTCAATATGATGTTACCATTAAAAATCATATAGACCTACTGAACAGAGTATGAAACAAAGAACCCAGAAGCAATCCATGGCTCTGTGATCCACTCTTCAAGGGTGCCAATAACACACAAGAGAGTAGATAATATTTTCATTGAACAGTGCTGGAAAAAGGAGAAAGACAAATACTACTTGACCTTGTTTATACATAGAATCTACAGATGTGAAAGGGGGGAGTACAAAACAGTTAAGGAAGGAGGGTTTGCATTGTGAGTTTTACAAAACGAGTAAATTCTGGGGATCCCATGTGCAGCAGTGTTACTTTAGCTAATAATACTGTATTGTATACTTGAACTTTCTAGTGTTTTTATAGTTTATTAACTTTCAGTTTTTATTTTGGGTAATGGTTTTAACTTTATATTATGATTAACTGACCTATAAAAACTATGTAGATTCATAAACTACAGAGGGTAAATCTTTACTTTTCAGAGGAACAGTTGAAAGTGTCTCACCTTGTTGCCCAGGCTGGCCCCAAATTCAGTACATAGCTTAGGGTAGCCTCAGATTTGTGGTACTCTTCCTGTTTCAGACTCTTGAATATAGGATCACAGGCATGGACCAACATACCTTGTTCAGTAGGGGTTTTTATCATGTTGAAAATCATTAAGTAGGACTTGGGATATATAGGCCAATGGTAGAACACTTGCCTAGCAGCAGGAGAGCCTGCTTTCACTTCTTAGTACCCACTTCCCAAATAAATACTAGTTTTGTGAGGTGATAGAAAGTTAATTAGCTTTCATGTGATGAATACTTAAAAGTGTATACATATGAAATGACTAAATTGAATATATAAGTATACATGATTTTAAACTGTCAAATATACTTCAATAAATTTGGCAAGGAGGGAAGAGAAAATAACTTGATCAGATTTGCATTTTACACTGTTCATTCTTACTGTCATCATTAAAATTTCTATTCCTCAGGCTCTTTCCTGTATTTTTTTGACTCACATTGAATGTTGTCCTACAGTCAGTTCATCTCACAGCTTCTGTTTCTATTTCTGTATCTCCAGTCCAGACCTCTCTGCTGGGCTCTGACCCCATTTACCTCAATGCCAATTAGACTTCTCTTCTCTGGTGAGTCTTAGGAAAATGCAGCATACTCCTAGAATGATATTTACCCTGTATTTCCCTTCCATATTTTGCATATGTTCTGTTGCTTTGCATCTAAAATAATGGTAGCTGGTACTATTACCTTTTAACTTGCTCCATACTAAAAGCCTAAGAATCATCTAGACCTTCTCTCTCTCCTACATTGCTACTACTACATGTACTGCCTACCATGTGCTGCTCTCAAATTTGTTCCCTTCCTTTCTTAGCAATGCTTTTGTTCTAGTACAGCCTCCCTCACTTACACCACTGTGTGCCCAGGTCATTCATTTTCCATCTCATCTCCAGTCATGTTTCCAGGGAAGGAAGTGGACTGAAGCTAGAATGACCTTTCTAAATTTCAAATTGGATCAAAGGTCCAACTGGGTCTTCCTGCAATCGGCTAGAATCTGTCAGTCTTCTGTAATTCAGCCAGAAACTCTCACAGTAAAAACTAAAGCCATAAGGACCTGGCATTTATTTATTTACTTATTGCATCTTTAACCTTAGCTCTTTTCTTTCCTACAACCTCTACCCTTACCTGGCTTCCAGGTTCCAGTAGTCCTCATGTTTAAAACAATAACACTTAGGCAAATGTTCTTAAAGAAATATTTCCAGTAGCCCCTTTCTGTTGTTCCCATATCTTTCACTTTTTATTTGTTCTTTTCCTGTTTAGAACTGCACAATATTTTTAACGTAGAAAAGAGGAAAATTTTGTCCATCGCTAGTAAGTATTGATTGCTATAACTGCATAATTATACTCAATGTGATTTACTGGCTATTCATTTAGTGTATACCATAGATTTTAAAGTGATTCCATAAGAATGAGTCTACTTGATGTTAAAAATCTCAGTTTACAGATTTAAAAAAGAAGACCCATATTAAGACAGGCCTTGACACAGTGACTAAGATAGTTGAGAATTTGGTGGCCTAATTAGAGAAATGGAAAGTATAAATGTTGAAATAATGTCCTTGCTCTAGTATTCACTTTCACATGTCAGCTCATTTTTATTTTAGAGATTACATAACCAACCTTTTTTAACCTATCTGTCATTTTTAACAAAAATTTTTCCAAAATGCTCAAATATGTTATGATTGTATAGGTTTTACATCTAGGAACAACTGAATGTTACATTTATTTTAAAAAAAATAAACTTTATAAAATGAGATTACTTGTTCTGGTAACTCGTGAACATGATAGAGACAGGAAGAGATTATGTGGTGTGTGTGTGTGTGTGTGTGTGTGTGTGTGTGTGTGTGTGTTTTAATTGTGAAGTTATATCAGATTCTCAGTTCCTTGCTTGCAATGGATTAAATGAAAATTATAGGCAGGCCAGAAATTGCTTTTCACACTGATTATGCCTTTTCTAATATCGGTAGTGATTTTTCAGTTAAAAGTGTACACTGCTAAAGTTAAGATGGGAACAAAATTAATTTCCTTGGACTCTGTTAAAAATAGCATTATCAACTACTTTGTGATGTTTCCCTCTGCATATATTGGGCTGTCCTGAAGAAATAAACCTCCACTTGCTTTTGTGACAGTAGATAATAAATTGGCTGATATAATTCAGTTGAGATGTTGAAAACTGCATTGAAAATAATGGGGCATAACATTTTAGGGTTAACATTTATTCATAGATGATGCAATTAAATAAAGCACGCATTAACTTCAAGGTCAGTCAGTAAAGTAATAAAATTGAATATTTTAATTGAATTGTAATCGTTTCCCATTGATACATGCAACTAAAGTAAAATGGATGTCAGCTCTGCAAATTATAGTTCTTCCTCCTAATTAATTTCTTAATTCTGCATGGAGTTATCCAGTGCCTAGGTCTTGTTGTGGGTTTATTCACCCACCCAGCTTCCATCATGGGATGTCTGTAAGATGTGATTGAATGGTTAGATGGCAGGATTTACAGTAAATCTTCTCCCGAAGTTTGGAGAAAATCTTGTTAGTGGCTTAGAATAATCTCATGCCTGAGTATTAAAGCATGCTAGAAATGAAATGGGTCCTCCATTCTCTGGACTGTTGTCTTCTTTGTTAATATATTATTTCTTGATATCACTGATTATATCAACATTAATAAATGGCTCAATGACTAAAGTTTTTAGGCGACATGGGTCCATTGAGACAGCATTGCATAGCTGACTGTTGGAGAAGATAAACTAAAGAATTTGGTGAGATTTCAGTGAAGCACAGTTTGTGTGTGTTCACGACCCAGGCTTCAATGGGTCACAGTCACTAAATGGAATGAATCCAAACAAGAAATGTCTATCTGGAGGAAGGAGATGAGTTGAAGCCTTTGGATAAAGTTTGCATTAAAGAGTCCATGAGCTATTCTGTCTTCTTCATAATCATCTCAAAGTGTTTAATGTAGCTTTACATAAAATAAATGAGAAACATGTAATCACAAAGATGTTTTCAATTACACTGACGTTGTGTCGAATATAGATACTGTTTTTTTAAGAAGGAGAATATTGTACCTTTTAGACTAGATGCATTAGTTGTTAAGTAACTGCTTGAATTTTTTAAAATTTGACTGTATAAGATGGATTTGAACATTACCAAATTCTCATTTTTTTAATATACCTTCAAATAGTTCCACATAATAGAATCCTTTTAGCACAAACTAAGCTGTGTATCAGGACTGCTGTTAAGTTGTCCCCTCTTCCCACAAAGCTAACAAGTTAAAAACTCAGAAGCGATTCTTACTTTCCAAAGTTAGTATTTAATTTGAATTCAAACATTGACTTGATTATTTTAAAAACTTCTAAAGAATTCCAGTGAAGAATATATTTTATTGATGCTAATCTCACCCTGAGTGTCAGTTCTCAATTATAAACATTCCTGAATATCAGAATTCTCTGTGAGTAACATCCAGTTAGAAATTCCTAAAACTTGGAAGGAGTAGAGGGAGAGGAATTTGTAATCAGGATATGTTGTGTGAGAAAATAATCTATTTTCAGTAAAAGAAAAAAATCATGAACACACACTACATATTTATTGAAAATTAGATGGTAATTTAATACATTTAAGGGGATCCATTTTAGCAAATATTTATTTTAAAGACATTCTTTGTAAGCAAAAGTAATTATATACAAACTGCACATAGAATGGTAAAATGTTTCTGTATAAGCAAAATTTAGAAAAATACATGAAACTGTAAGAAAATTAATAATTCAATTATATTGGTTTTCATTTGCATGTTATTAATAATTTATGGAGTCATTGGTGCTCTAGGAATTAAGAGTTTATTGAGAGCCTTCTGCATCTGAATATTTTGGGGGACATAGGACAGATAGTCTTTCTATTACATCCACAACTAATAATGCCCCTGTAGTGAAGCCTGGGCTGATTTAAAGATAACAATAATGAGAGGCTTAGGCCATTTCCTTCTCAAGGACATTAGTGTCAATCCCTAGAGGTCTCTGGCTCTTATCCAAGAAATGTTTTGTAAAAACAACCTGAAGTGTACCTCATATTGATAGTAATCATGAGGTCCCTAATCACTGGTCACTTTCTAATGAACAGAAAACAAAAATGAAGCAAACATGGAAATAGCTCTGATAGAGTTCTTTGCCAGGTGTGAGAAGCAAAATTCCTAAGTAGGCATTATTGAAGACAGTGCAACATATAAACCTGACACAGTATTACTAATGTTGACTACTGTAGAAAGATCTATTCAGAAAAGAACTTAGATTACCATATTGAATTGAGACACATTAACACATTAATCAGGATTTTTTTTGGTAAAGAATTATAGTCTATTTAAATAGACATTGTTTTGATAATAACTATGATTTGATTTCTTAATACAAGTATATCCATATTGTACTATTAAGTGAATTAATTTTGTAGGTATAACAGTCTAACATCATTTTCTTTTCTATTCTGATTCTATAATTTCATTTAAAGTTAAAATAAAATAAGAATAAAACAAATTTACACTGTTGTCTTTGGTGGTTGGTTATTTTTTTTCTTTTGGGGGCCCTGCCACCCAGCTCCCAAGAAAGTCACACAGGGGCCGGCCTTAACTTGGCTTGCTACTTAACTTCAAATTATTCCATTTACCTTTTGCCTTTGGGCTTTTACCTTTCTTTTACGCCTGTAAATCGTACTTTCACTCTTACTCCGGGGCTGGCTGGGTGGCTGGCCCCTAGCATCCTCCTCTCCTTCTCTCTTGTTCTTTCTTCCTCTCTTCCCAAATTTCTCTTTCTATTTATTCTCTTTGCCTGCCAGCCCCACCTATCCTTTCCCCTACCTCACTATTGGCTGTTCAGCTCTTTGTTAGACCATCAGGTGTTTTAGACAGGCAAAGTAACACAGCTTCACAGTTAAATAAATTGCAACATAAAAGAATGCAACACATCTTTGCATCATTATATAAATGTTCCACAGCATAAACAAATGTAACGCATCTTAAAATAATATTCTACAACAGTCTTTAAATATAATAAGCCACAACTAAAATGCTGAGGTTTTGCACTTCCTGTTTTTGAAATTATACTATTTTCATCTTAATTATAATTCCCTGAAAAAGAAAGTCAAATTGAAGGAAGCATCTGCCTATTGATGCAACTGAAATAAACTAAAAATTGTTTTTTAGGAGTAAGAAAGCAAGTTATCTCAGTGAAATAGGAAAGTAAATGCTGGCAGAGTACATTTAAGTTGAAAATCAAAACAATTTAAGATACATATACATTGCTTTCCTAGATGAGGAGGGGTCAAGGGAAAGGAAATGTGCCTTTACAGTTTTAAATTTACTCTTTCCTGACAGGCTTAGATCCTGATAAGCATCTTGGGAAAACCCTGCATGAAATGGAGCCTTATCTTTTTGAGGTAAGAATTTATGTTCGTCTCCAAAATATCAGTATCTGAAAGAGGAAAATAATACCATAGCATAATGACTGTAACAATGATTTTATTTCAGAAATATTTAGATGCATTCATTTTATGATTTGTGAAATGGTTAAACTTCATAGTATATGTATGTAGAAGTGTGTTTAAAATTATATAAAATGATGGCCAGTTGTGGAACTCATTCCAAACTGTAATGAGTCTGTAATTGCAAAAGTAACCTCAAAGGAAAATTCTGTGACAACATGTTTTTTTGTTAAAATGGACAGCATGTGCTGCATGAATATTGATTGCTGTATTACTGACACCTCTGCAGTGTCTCTCTCTGACTCAGACTCGGTGTCAGGCACGGGAGTGGGAACTTCTGGAACTTACTGAATCTGGTCCTCTTTACAAAGATGAACAAACATTCCAAGAAGCAAAGGAATTATCCCAACCATTCAAATAACCTCCTTCATTTTTACCATTGTCAAGTCCAAAGTGTGTTCTACATACTAAAATAATATTGATTTTCATTATTCCTTCCTATTAATTCTATTGATTTGTATTTGAGATTGAGGGCAAATGTTGGGTTTAATATAGCACTGGTTCAATCACTGAAGCAGTGTGATTGTTAGATTGTGAGAAGATTATTAACCTACAATCTAGATAGAGATAGACGATGACTGTTTCTGTGGAAGAGCATTGAGTTACCTCAAGCTCAACTCTCAGAGACAGTGAAGCTCCTGTAGTGGGGTAGAGTGAAATCAGCATGCCACAACAGCTTCATACAGAGAATGGAAGCACACAAGGATTTATTGTGTTATTGACTTTCTGCAGCACACTGACAAATAACAAACCTACGTCCTCTGCCTGATCACCGCCATTGCACTTAAGTCTCATTGGTTAAAAACATTTGTCTTCGGGTTATATGTTATAACATCAAAGCTAGTCTGTGTAACATCAAGCTTGTCTTGGTTTTTTCGCTAAACCCTGCTGCCTTCTGTAATAATAAGTGCTTCTGATTTCCTTCATTGTATGTGAATAATTGTTGATTCTTCATTTTCCAGCTTGTGGAAATGTTGATGCCAATGTCTTTTCATCTTACTATCACAATATTTCCATCTGTTTCCTATAAAAGTTTCATGGACTTTACTTGCAATTTTTCTTCTCCTAATCAATGAATACTGCTGCTAGACTATATTTCCTCACCTTTCTTGTAATAACATGAATCACTGTTGAAAAATCCTCTGAATCTCATTATTTATTATCCTAAATTGTCTGGCCCATCCCTGAAGGCCCTTCAACTGCCCTATGTTTCCACCTTACCTTTTCCTTACCAATCTATCAACACCAGTTTAATTTCATTTAGATCAAGTTTCCTCTTGTCTTTGTGTGCCTTCCTGCTAATGAGTCTTCATTCATATCGATTTACTTTGTGGCCACTGCCCAGGTAAATTTCACCCATCATTCAAATCTGTTTAAGATCTTTTATCAGCTGCACCAAGACCTGTGGCCCTATTCTCTATAGCAGCTCCTGCCTGTACTTACATTAGGAACCAGGTTGCTCTTAACTGATGCAGGTTATTAAGGTTTTTCTTCCCTTACTTGCTACAGTACACATTCCATGAAAACCACGAAGTGTTCAATTTGTTTTCTTCCCATTTCAGCAGTTTGCACAGAACTGGTAACATGGGTTGATTCTGAAAATACTCTATTCAGTTCTACAACTACCACATGACAATAGAGACCAAGAGCTCATTTACAATATATATTCAGAAAAATGTGAGGGCCACAAATTGGGACAGCTGGGAACTTTTATGCTTCCCTTTAAATACAACAACCAGGTACTGCTGGTCAAACTACCTATAACAATTGTTCTCCCTTCCTCAGAAGTCTTCATTTACTCAACAAACAAGTATCACTGGTCAAACTACTTACGATAATTTTTCTCCCTTCCTTGAAAGTCTCCATTTACTCCTCAATATTTAGATAATTAATCCCCACTTACTTTAGTATTCTAAACATTTCAATATGTGGTTTTAATTTCCCAGAAAAGCTTTGGTTAAGATATACTCCAAAGAAAGGAGACTAATGGCTGAAAACCAATTCTTCTGCCTTATGTGTTGGAATATCTAAAATTCTGGGGACCATAAGTGTTTCAATTTTCAGATTTTATTTTCAGTTTTTGCAATCTTTGTATATACATAATGAAATATTCTGGTTTAAGCCCTAAGATTAAACATAAACTTCAGTTTCATATACATCTGTATATCATAAAACACATGGCTTATAGGTCATTTTTGTATTTGAATATTATATGGCAATACTCAGGTTTACCCATAACCAATATCTTGACACTTCCTAAAATGTTATGTGAATTTTATTTTTCTTACAGAATTAAAAATACCTTTTAAACATGCAATTGGACATACTAATGGGGTGTCATATAGTACTTCAAAATATGTATATATCATGTAATATTTTAATTAGTATAAACATATCTATCTTCTCAGTTAGTTATACTTTGATGTAAAGCATTAAAATTCCTTCCTTCCTTCCTTCCAGGTTTATGAAATACACAGTACATTACTAGTATCTATAGCCACCCTACTTTATTAGTTTTTCTACAGAGTCCTTCAACTCATAATGTCAAAATCAAAAGAGGGCTTGTAAAAAAAATTCTTTTGTCAAAGCCACAGTCTCTCACTTCCTTTCTTTCACTTTCTAAAACTTGACTTCATTATATATCAATATTGCTTTGGGAGAGAGATAATTTCAATCTGGGACAGTGAGTAGATAAGACTACAAACAGAACCGTGACCATAAAACAAATGGTCGCAAGATGCTTGTGTGAACACAGAAAGCAACCAAATAAAAACTCAAATGACACCAATTTCTCTATATACCAAACATAATATGTTATAAGTTGTGGTGGTATTGTGTTCCCCAAAATATTGTGTACCCTAATAAACTTATCTGGGGTCAGAGACAGAACAGCCACAATATTAAACATAGAAGTTAGGCAGTGGTAGCACATGCCTTTAATCCCAGCACTTGGGAGGCAGAGCTAGGAAGAAATCCATGTGTTCAAGGATACAGCCAAGCATGGTGACTCATGCCTTTAATCCCAGGGAGTGGTGGTAGAAAGCAGAAAGGTATATAAGGTGTGAGGCCCAGAAACTAGAAGCATTTGGCTGGTTAAGCATTTGACTGGTTAAGCTTTTAGGTTTTGAGCAGCACAGTTCAGCTGAGAGCCATTCGGATATTAGGACACAGAGGCTTCCAGTCTGAGGAAACAAGATCAGCTGAGAAGCTGGCCAGGTGAAGTTAGCTGTGGCATGTTCTGGTTCTCTGATCTTTCAGTTCACCCCAATACCTGGCTCAGGTTTGATTTTATTAATAAGACCTCTAAGATTCATGCTACAATAAGTGTATACTCATTCCACTTTTCTTTTAATCTTTACTATGTGTTTGTCACATAACAAGAAGTGTTTAGTTTTGTTTAATCAAAGAAGGAATTAATATTAGGGACTTTTATATATATATATGTGTGTGTGTGTGTGTGTGTGTGTGTGTGTGTGTGTGTGTGTGTGTGTGTGTATGCCAAAGGACAGTATGATACTCATAAGTTATTGTGGAGATCTGCAGCTCATGCCATAGTGCTCTCCCTGACAACAGCCAGAGACACAAGGAACTGAGCTATAGGGCTATAGGACAGGACACTAGGCATACCATGTGCTAAGTGGTCTTTATGCATGACTAGTTAATTATCTAACAAACTTATGAGGATGCTAGTATTAGTGTAGCATTTTCAGTTGAAGCATCATTTCTGAGGAGGACTTTTCCAAACTCACATGACTAGGGAATATCAGAAATAAAATTCATGTCTAAGTGTGGCTGATTTCAGAGCATGCACTGTACTCTACTCCTAAGTTATTTTGAGGTATAACTAAAATAAGAATAGCCTTGCCTTAGCTATAGAACAAGTAGTATAAACAGTAATATTAGCAACAGGAGAATGGCATCAGCCATGGCAGAAGCCAGGAGATTCATTCATGTAAGAGGGAATAACTGATAAAAAGCATACTCCAAATAGATCCATCAAGGAGTATGTGTAACTTAGGAACAGCAGTAGGAAAAAAATGAGAAAAGAGTATCTTCAAAAATACAATAATACAGAAGCCCATGGAAGGCTAGTGGAAAGACATGAGAGGTGAATAATGTTATAGGCTCATAAACTGGAAAACTATAGAGTAATTGGGTTCTGGCAACAAATTGCTAGCAGTAAGTAGACTACTATCCACTGAATTTCCGAATGTAGCAAGGTGGAAATTTTCCTTATCCAGTAATGCATGCCATTAATCATTCATGCTGATGGCATTCAAAATTGATGTCTCAAAACAAGGCACCTTGACATTTGAGCAGCACCAAAGGAAGGTCACTCTGACCTTCTTCGCCATTGTCCCTAGAGCAGGCAATTAAGGAATGCTTTGACCTTCCTCTAAAGTAAGCATGAGACTTTCATTGCGGATGTTCCGTCTCTCTATCTGGAGGAAGAGAACATCACATAGAAGCACAGGAGAAAGCCTGAATAGACATTCAGAATGCTGGTTTTTACAGGATCTGTCTGTCTGCTCACACTGCACACCTCTACAACTAAACCACTGGTAGTAGATACCCAATAAATAAGTAAATCCTCTGAATCTATTTATGCAGCATGAAATGATATGTTCAAAGCACCACTTATAAAATAAAATTGTGGTGCTTTGTATAAACCTTGTGGTCTTCTCTAGGTGAGAGGGTATGAGAAGAAGTCCATTTGATTGGGCTCCTCCCATCTTTGGTTTTAAAATGAATAACAGATAAATTATATTTATTTTAAAAACAAAAAATTGAGACAGGCCCGGCGGCGGAGACAAGCAGACACAGGTAGGCCTGTGGCAGCGGCCCACAGAGGTAGACCGGCCCAGCCGCGGCAGCCAACAGGGACATTCAGGCCT